CCGATTCAACTTAGCACTCTTGTTGGACAACCAAGCACGATTGCTCTGACAGCCTTGGCGCTCGCTGCGGCCTTCGTTTTGCGTTTCAAAAGCATCTTGTCCAGACGCCCGAGGTGGAAAAGGACTCGGATGTACGCTTGGTCTCGTACATTCGTACCGTACGTTTCAAAGTACGTCTTATCTTCTCTATGGATTGTACATTTCTGTACGTGGAATGTACGCCCGTGCAGGTCCACCTCGATCATGACACGTCGTGTTCACTGTCAGTTGATCTTTTGCATCATGCTGACCAGTCTACCGTTCTGCACGCCGCTTTTGAGCTATACGTCGTCGTCGAATTCATCCCATACGTTCGGTCGACTGAGCGCCGACTGCTTGGACGTGGGCCCCGCCATGCGCAACGGCAAGCGCGTCGTGCGTCTCGAGTCTGTATTATCTGGGGGCCTTGACGTGCACCAATTAGGCGCTGTGTTTTGACGTCCGCGGCCACTTGGCGCCAAAAGAAGTGACGCGACCAGAGATTTTGCAGCTCGTCGCGGACGCCACGGACCCAGCCGACGCGCCCACGGTGCCGGTTGGCGCATACCATGTCGATGGGGCCCTAACCACCATCGATAGGCCATGCACATGCGCGACTTGCGACAGCTCGACGAAGTCTTTACGGTCTCCAACGAGCCATCGCTCTCGGTCCGCCGCCAAGCCATTCTGCTCAACGCGGGTATAGACGTCGAAAAGTTTCAGTGTATCAAGTCGCGGTAGATCCTATCCGGGCGGTAATTTTGCGCGACAATTGCTTGGTGTTTCTACCGAGCGGTGCCGACAACCTTGCTTCCAAGCTCGACACGCTCGTCCAAGAGCACGTCAAGGCATCCAACTCGGAGCGTACGCCGTTTGAATTGCGGTACGGCGATAGACCTAGCCCTAACCTCCTCACTGGTCTGTCGATAGCGCTCTGGAAGTGGTGTTGGCGGCCGTCTGCTCGTACGCCTCGATGCAAATACTTTCAGCATGTCACGATGCATTAGCGGGCTCGTCATGGACGGCGACGCGCTTCTGCCGACTGCGCAAGCAGCCGTCGAGCGCATGAGCCGCCCGGACTTGCCAATGGGCGACATGGAGGCGCTTCGCGCCCTCAAAAAAAGCCTCCACGAGAATTCCACGCGCGTACAAGGGTCTCCTTGAAGCAGTCGGTCGCTTATTTCGCTGTGTCTATATAGGTGGGGGCGGTGCGGCGCATGCTCGTGGAAGCATTGGACAAGGAAGACGATCTGCGTCGCATGCAGCTCACAGTGGTGCTCCCCACATTCGCTTTGCATGGCCTTCAACACGAAAACTATAGCTGGATACGTCACCCGTGCACGAGACGCTCGCGACCGAGACCGTGGAAGCCATCATTGAGACCTACCTTCACGTACGCCACGCAGCGATGGCAGTCGTTTTCATGAGTTGTATAGGATTTGTATGCAACACAGACACGCGTCGCGCTCATGCTTCAGCGCATCCAAAGCACCGAAGACATGGTGCTATTGCAGCTGCAGACGAAGCGCAATTCGCTGCTTGTGGTTGACCTCACCCTCTCGATGGTGGCGACGCTCGTGGCCGTCCCCAACTTTGTCGTCGGCGGCTTTGGCATGAACCTCGACTCGACGGTGCAGACCACGCGCTACATGTTTTGGATCGTCTTTGGCTTTTGCATTGGCTTCCCGATTCTCGCCTTCCACGTCATTAGCGTCTATCTCTCACGCCGCGGGATCGTTCTGCGCCTCTGAGTCACCTGAACCCACCGAAAGGTTATAGAAATACCACGACACATATTGTCTACTAGTATTGTTTGTTGAGCTGATGCAACCATACACATTGGAGAAGGTTCAGCATGAGGACCCGATGATAGAACGCTACTACTAGTAGGCAACACGCTTCACGACGTTACAACCTGTGTTGTTTTTTATAAAAATCAATTTGCCCTACCCCTACCCTAAGTGTGAAAATCGTGCGTCGAGGCGCGCGTTGGACGAGCTTGCTTGGGCGAGGACAGTGCTGCTGCTGCTATTAAGCAACAGCAAGTCGAGCTAGTACCATGAAGGATGCAGCTTTTGACGGCAGCCTGCTTCCAACGCCAGACGTGAGCACCTCATGGGACCCCTGGTCGGCTGCGACAAAGGGCCACCATGCAACAGTGTACCGTACACGCTTCTTGCGATGACATAGACTGTTAATATCGGTTTATTTGACAGGGGCCGCTTCCGACAAGCGTGCGATCGTTGCAACGTCGGCTTCGTACGCTGCCACGTCATGGTAGCGGTGTTTCTGCAGCAAAAGACGAGCGTCATGTGTTGTGACGAGCACACCGAGCGAAGCCAGAGCGACGGCCGCAAAGCGCAAGTAGCCATCGAGTTGCACGCAGACGTGGTCGACGCAGGCCTCCCACGCGCCTCGCGTGGGCGAGGCCAGGAACGCGTGGACGTCCGAGCACATGGCGCAATGACACGGCAGTGCTGGCGCGGCCAAAGCCCAGTCAGGGCGATGGACGGGGGGCACCGAGGCCAGGTGCACGAGAACAAGCTGTCGAAGGAGCTCTGTCAGCACGCCACCCGGCGCGTGCTGCACCACGACGTCGTACACGGGCAAGAGAACGCGGCGTGCGACGTGAAGGGTGGTGGGCGTCAGCGCATTGAGGTACCCCACAAGCGCGTGGCCAAAGCCCAGTCGATAGAGCATCTCGACGGCTGCAGGAAGCACCGCGGGGATCGGGTGCTCGCCGGCCGCCAACCGCCGCACCTGCGCCAGCACGAGCATGGCCGACGTCAACAGGCACGAGTGGACCAGTGGCGGGACAGTCTCGATACGTTGCAGATACTTGACGCTGGCGAGCGCGATGTCCGAGTCGAATGCGCCCATGTACCGCTCGACGCAGCGCTCGAATCGGCTTGGACTCAGAGCAAAAATCGAGCCAAGACCGGTGGCGTTGAAGGCCGGCGGCCGAGCGTCAAATGCATCGAGAACGTAGGCCACGTACGTGGGCACATGCAGCGCCGGCAGCGCATCGAGAAGCGTCACGAGCACGGGAGCGACGACCGACATAGGGTCCCACACGTCGGCTCTGGCAGCGAGCACGCTCATCAAGCTCGGCTGCAAGTACGTATCAATGGTCCCGAGGACGCTGCTGGGAAGGCGTGCGAGCCGCCCGCGGACGTCCGCCTCGGTGCGTGCGACGGCAAAGTTCTCCAAGCAAAGCAGCGCCGACACGATGCGGCGACTGGCCGTCGGCGTCGACGGCGCGTCGTGACACAGCAGCAGCTGTGGCAGCAGCCGTTGGTACCCCATCTTGACAAAGTCGCCCGTCTCTGAGCGCTCCGAGAGTTGCATGAGATCGACAAGAAATGACAAGACATCCGAGACCACGCACCACGTACACGTTTGTTCGTCCACGAGCTGCAGTAGCGCAGATGCCAACGGATCGCAGCCGACCTCTGTGATGGCCGTTGGGAGCCAGTGCAGGAAGCGTCCAAGCTGCGAGCGTGTCACCGCGACCGGGACGTAGCTGACGACCAAGAGCTGAAGCAGCACCACGCGCCGATACTGTGTGAGGACGCGACCGAGTTGGACGGCGTCGGGCACATCCAGGTACCGATGCGCGGGCAGCGCGCTTGCGTCAAAGAGCATGTCGATCAAGCTCGTGACGAGGTGCGTCGCACACGCACCAAGCCCATGTTGCAAGACGCGCTCGAGCTGGGTTAGTGTGCGGCGAAAGCCGGGAAGCCGGTGGCGGTGCAGGCGCGACCAAAACACGAGGCACGTCGTGATGGCGCCATCGTCTGGCGGCGTCGGCGTCGCGTTGAGAACGGCAGGAAGCGCCTGGCCGGCCAAGTAGACGCTGGCGAGCAGCTGGCTCTCGGGATGCAATACGGCCTTGACCACGATCCACAGAGCGTCGCGCTGGCTCCAGAGGATGCGAGCAAAAGCCACGTCAAAGCAGTTGCTGCCCACGAGCGCAGCGACGACCCGCATGTCGGGCGGCGCCAAAACGCTAAACTCCAGGTCCGTGTACGTGCGTCGCCAGTGCCACGCGTACGTCGTCGCGGTCGCCTGCAGCTGCGATGCCCAGACAGGCAGTTGCTCGAGCAGATTGAGGCGAGAAACATGCTCTGTGTACACGATGGCGTAGACCAGCGCAATGCGGTAGCCTGTCTGGACACTGTCGAACGTAGCGTGCTCGGCGTCGTGGAAGGTCCCGAGGATCGCCCCGTCCTGGCCCTGGCGCCATCGCAGGAGCGTGCTCGTCGGCGTCAGCGTCAAAGTGCCACCGGTCGCCGACGTTGGCAGCAGCAAGACCACGTAGCCAAAGACGCCTTGCGGCGGCGATCGAGTCGGAAGGTACGGACCAACGTCGCCGCCGGCGCGCGTGAGCACGAGATGCGACATGCGCAGCACGACGCGGCGCGGTGGGCGAAGCAGCGTGTCGGTGCAATGCAGCGCAATGGGCACGATCGCGCCGTCGTGCACGAGGAGCCTGGTCGCTGGAATGATGCACGTCGTGCCGTCGTGAGCATGGCGCCGGAAGAGGTACGCACCTTGCGACGATGAGAGCGGCCAGCCAATGCGCTCGTACGTCCGATTGCTAAGGCGCTCGACGGCCACGAGGCCTCGGTGCACGGCAGCGACGACGCCAACCACGCACGGGGTCTCGCTTCGAGCGAGCGTCGCCAGCGTCCGAAGGTAGCCCTGATACGCTGGCGTCGCGTCGGCCATGCGAGGCAATTGCGGTTCTGGGAGAAAAAAGAGGTGGGAAAAGCCAGCCCACGCGTAAAGGGTCCTACCAGGTCGTATTCGCAGTGTTGGCAAGAGGTCTCGCTGGGAGCAAGTCGATGGCGGTCATGACAGCGTGCTTGGTTGCGAGAAGCGGCGTGGTCGGCTCGAGTGCTGCAGACCGACGGCCATCGTCGTGTAGCGCTGAGGGCGAGTGAGGAATAAGCACGGCTCAGAAAGGAAGTGGCGTGCACTTAGACGCCGAGCACAAGCGCGTCCGGAGCGTGCACAGTGACTGTGTTCATTGCAGCGTGAGGCCACCGACACGCACCGGCCATCGCGTCTCGGTGGATCGCGTGCGAGCGGTATTCTAATATCACGCCACTTTGTGTGAAAACACATTTCGCACATTGTTTTTCACATAAAACACGATGGTGGCAAACATCCGGATACCGGACGCAAGCAACCTCAGCACCGCATTCGCCCGTGCTGGTCGGCCCATGCCACGACGTCTTCGCTCACGGACAACTTGTTTAATTTGGCGCTTACTGCGGACACCAGCACCGTCGCCTCTTCAGTGTATTGAAGCGACAGCACCAACGGCAGTTTAACCTCATGTGTAACCTGAGTATTACGTCCCGAGACGAGCGGGTTTTTCTCGTCCAACCTGTTTAAACCATGAGGTTAAAGTAAAACCTTAGCGGATCGCGTTTGGCACGTACCGATTCTTGGACGGAATGGCAGCGCCGGTGCGCCAGGGCCTCGAGCGAGCGCTGGCCGCGATCCGACGCCCGGCCAAGCCGTTCGCCACGGGCCGCGGGCTGCATCCGCGTGATTCTCCGCGCCTGCAGGTCGATGGCATGGACGCGCCGCTGAGTGGCTCGTGTCGCATCTTCCACGCAGTCTCTTGCTCAACGTCGATGCATTTCTGGATCCTGCACACGCTACATGCTCGGTCTCGTGCAACGAAAGCCCAAGACGTAGTGTCCCCTCGCGGTGCTGGCGCCCACCGTAGTGTCAGCCGCGGTGTGCCCTTCTCGGCAGTTTGTGGCGGACGTGGAGCACGCCTTGTGCCGGCCATCGCAGCACTACTGCGCCGCCACGTGTCGATGCCAGCACGGGCAGCGAGTCATCTTGGAGCGTTGCTGCTGCAGTCGGTGCCGCAGCTCATCATTCGCAGCGACGAGTCCACTCGCGTTGGTGACAGTCGGCTTTTCCTACAGCATTATGCCCCCACGGCAACCGGGCTCGCCCGTGACGCCGCCGACGTGGTGCACACCTGGACACCGAATGCGTTCGTCTTTTTTGCGCACCAAGTGACTTTGACGCTCGTAGTTATGCCCGATCGTAGCCTCGCGACCTACCGCAGCACTGTATTTCGTCTCCTAGAAGTCTCATTTCACTCGCTGAGGCCGTCGTGGACCACCTTGCCCGCGCCGGCGTCGGGCGACTCGAAGCCGAAGCAGACGTCGCGCTTCCGACGCTCGACGATTTGACCGTCCGCGGTCTCACGCCTCCGTCGGCGCGTCACGACTGCCTCAGTTGCGCAACGTTTCTCGTCTTTCTCGAGAGCCCAACGGGCTTGGAGTGCGACTTTGACTCGGCCACGCGGCTTCTTTGCCGATGGCTGGGACGTGGTCGTCGCCCCAAGACGCCGCAAGAGCTCCATGCCCCGATCGACGAGTGGAAGCGCCGACTGGAGCTCCACCAAGAGCGCAGTTTGGACGGTGGCGACGGGCCTGTTCGCACGAGGTCTTGCTTCAAGCTGATAGCACTCTCGGTCGACACGTCTTATGAAGGTACACGCCACTTCTGTGTGCCAAGGTTCCCGTACGTGGCGCGCCGTCTCTTCAAAGCTGTGTTTTGAATCATACTACGTCGTGTGTTTGTGGTGTAAACTATAGTACTAGTGTCTATAAAAGCTGCGGCATTTGCGTAATGAACGCGTTCGACTTGGTCAACGCGTCGTCCTTTTGCGAGACGCCGGGGGGCAGCCCCATGCGCAGGAGAGGATTTGTCGAGAGGCGCTTGTCCGCTTCGTTCTACGCCCCGCGTCCAGTTGATACGCTGATAGGTTGATACATACCTGATTCTTTTTCTTGAGTTTGGACGTGAGTTCTTCGTCCGAGATGCCGCGCTCGGTCGCGTTCTTGCGCTTCTCCGCGAGCTACTCGCCCGTGGTAGAGAATTGATGGACAATATTGTACCTCTTTTTTTCGCATCACTTCGGAGAAATGACGGTTGCTGCTCATCTTGAGAATGTCGCGCGACGGCACGAGCACGTCGAGGATCGGGCCGTTGGCGACCACCGGCTCGTCGTCGCCGACGCCCGACGAGCTCGATGCATCCGAGCGTGCGCTGTCTGGGTGTCCGCCCGTCTTGGCCTTGACCCGAATGTTGTTGCGATGGACGACCGGGTCCGAGTTGCCGTGGGGCGACCAGATAAGGTGCTTGGCCTCGTCACCGTGGTCGTGGCGGCCGCCATGGTCGTCAAAGCCGTCGTCGCCGTCGCCGCCGTACCCGGTGAAGCCGCCGCCGGCGCCGTTTTGCTGGCCGACGAGCTCGACGACTTTGGCAAATTTGATTTCGGCGATCGAGAGCAAGTCGTGGCCCGTGTCCTTGCCGTTGAGCGTCACGAGTGCGTCGTCGTTGATCTCGAGGAGCTCCTACATTCATGATACATGCGATCAAACAGACTCGACCCAAAATGGAACCCACGTCGAACGGTGCGAGGCGTTGCACGAGGCTGCTGGCCCCCTGGCGGACGGCCGCAAGGACACCGTCCAAGCAGTCGTACGCAGCCTTGTTGGTCTTGAGAAGGCCTTTTGCTTGTAAAATGTCATTCTCCAGCGCGGTGTACACATCCCTACCCGCCACCGATGAATCTCAAAATGAACACAACAAGAAGCGCACCGATTGAGCTCAATGCCGCCAATACCGGACGCCTTCAAGTCGTTGAGCGCCTTGAGTGCATTCTCCTTGGCGAATTTCGCGTTCGAGAGTCGCGCTTCGGCGCGCACTTTTTCCTTCTCGAGCGACTGGTTGCTCAAGCTCTGGGCCGCAAACTTGTCGACGACATCCTGGAGGCTGCTTGCGCCTGTGACTTGCTTCATTTGGTCAACGACTTGGTCGTGGTCCGTCGCGCGCTGCGAAATCTCCATGTTTGCGGCGCCCAAGTCGGCGTTGGCCTTTCGCCGGTTCTCAATGTCGCGCAGTAGCCGCCGCTCTTCGTCGTACGAGAGGTCGCCGCGGAGCTAGGACAGTCGAGACATGTCACGCTGCGTTGCTCGCCCAATGTACCTCGGCCGCGAGCTCGGAGCGCTGCTTCATGCGCTTGAGCCGCCACTGCTCCATACGTTCGGCGTTCTTGGCCTTGATCGAGTGCTCCGAGAGCTCTCGTGTGCGCTGCTTGCGCTCGATCACCACTTGCTGCTGCAGACTATCGATTCCGTACATACATGTCGTGGCACGAGTTAAATACTGTACTCTTGGAGCAGCTGGATCGTGCGCGACTTGCCGGCTTCGAGCTGCCGGCTCAGAATGCGGACTTCTTCGGCTTCGCGCGCACTCGCCTCGACAGCCACCGACATGGCCTGGATGTGCGAGTCAAACTTGATTTGGTTCGTCTGGAGACGCCGAATCATATGTTCCAGCTGTCGCCGCGTGTGCATCTATAAGCATTACGCAAGAGTGGACGACTAAAACACCAAGTACCTTTTCCTCCATCGAGAGCATGCACTCTTCGATCTCGGTGTTGAGCCGCTGGATCTCCTTGGCGCCGTGCGATTCTTGGTTCTGGATCCGGTCGAGCTCGTCCGTCTCGATCTGCATCGCTCGGTACTGGTCCACGAGCGTCGAGAGCTCTTTTTCCTTGGCGTCGGCGACGCGCTTGCGCTCATTGTACTTGCGCGCATTGAGGTTGACGCCGTCTTCCAGTGTCGCCACGTCCTTGTTCGAGTCGGACGACGACTCGGGACCGTCGCCATGGACGCTGCCGAGCGACGACGAGCTCCCGAGCGACGACGTCGATTCGAAGCGAGACGGCAGCACGATCGGCGAGTTGACCCGTCGAACGGCCTCGACCAGGTCCTATGCAGACATGGCGCTTCGAATTCTTAGAGATGAGACGGACTTTGCGCTGAAAAATGCGTTTGGACTTGGAATTGGGCACATCAAACGCCGAGAGGTCCAGTGGCAATAGCCTAAGCACTGGGTCGTCAAGTGGAAGCGTCGAGGGAGGTGAACCGGCGGGTATTGGAGGGTCCCTTCTTCTTGAGCATGTGGCGGTCAGTGCTTTTCGCTGGCGTCATCGAGCGCTAATGTAGGCGATGTGAGGCGACCCACAAGTGGTTCAGGTGCAACCTCGTTGATTTTGTCCCCGACCTCGGCGAGGTTGGTAAAGGACGTCCGATCTGACGTCGCCATGCTAGCAGAGAGACCAGCACGTCGGGCCCAATGCTGCCCACGCGGGTGCTCTTGAGACGAGGTGGAAGTTTCCCCGAAACCCCCAACGATAATAGGTTTTGGTGTTTGAAAGAACTGCATTTGCCCTCAGACGCTATCTCTGCTTCATGCCATGTAGAGAGACTCGTAGTTATCGATTGCTTATCAAGGTGTAGTACGACTTGTAGTCGGTGTTCCGGTGGTTGATGCCGCTCATTATGTGTTGTCATTGTCCATAAAAAAGCGCATCTCCATTTTTATGGCCATCGATTGCCCGGAATGTCCTCACAAAGCAGAGACGTCCGTCGAATGGCGCAACTCGATTCCCCTTTCGGTCGAAACTCTGGTGGTAGCTCTTGTGCAGAGCTTTCTTGCGCGCATAGTGTGGAGCCACGCAACTGGAAGATGGTAGGTGGTTCGACGCTGCGGTTTCTTCCTTGGCGCGCTCTCGGCTTCAACGTCTCGCGGTGCTTCAACGTTCCGGCCTTGTACATAGGTACATTACGACTGGGTGCATTCGCCTGCACAGATGATGAGAGTGATTGAAGCAGCACCAATGGGCGGCAACACCTGAACCTATGATTCCTCGGCCCCAGAAAACAAGGTACACCATTTCTCTCTGGACGCCATTTCCACGACTTCCAAGAGAGTCGAGTAGTCCACTAAGTTCTTCAGGTGTCGATCAGACCATAATTCGATTCGACTAGTACGTCATAAAGCATTCTTTCGAGCGTCAACTCAACGTGTTACGCATCCCGTCCCTCGGTCGTCCCTCGTCATGTGACCAGACAAACGTAGACCAAGTCATGCGACATTGCTTCCATTCACATGGGGCCTCTCGAACGTTCGAGCGCACGGCTCATCATCATGGGGCGCGGTACTTGCACCTCGGTGCTATCATCCAGCTGGGCGCAATGCCGCTTCGAGCAGTGCGCAGGCAGCTACATAGCGCTGTAGCCGACTCGAGTGGCCATCTATGAACGAGCTGGTACGTAAAATGTGCTAACTTCAAGTGGCCGCGCCAACCGTGTCCCAAATGTAAAGTCACCAAGGAGGCCCCTTGATCATTTTTGCGTACCTATTTGATGCGGCGTGGACACATGCGCACCTGGATGTGATCAGACGACGCGCCGTACCTCACGAATTCTTGTGTTGCCGCCGCCAAATCACTAGAAATTTCTATGGCCCACAACGCCCCCGCAACCTTCTTACAGCGCTGAGCCATGCCACTGTGCCAAGCCATTCAAGCAGATGGCACGACGACTTTAACCGAAACCGCGTTTTTCTCCAGCACATACAAACATCAAGTGCAAGAAAAGGCCCGGCCCGACGTTAAAGGGGGTACGGTGATTGTACGGTGAACGTACGCCCTTGGATTTCGAAACGACGGAAATAGTGTATGATGGCGGGCGACCGTCCACCGCCCGCAAACGGCAATGACACATTCCTAATCGACCATGGACGATGTAGCACGCTTGGTAACGTTATAGCTTTGCAGTTGGCCCTCAAGCAGCTTTGAACTCGCAGCTTCTATTGCAGTCGAATAGGAAAGCTAGCAGATTGTACTGTAGTAGATAAAGTAGCTTACGGGCTTGCTAGATTCATCGCCACGTACGGTCCTATGGCGCGGCTTCGTGGGTCATTTTCGTGCCTGTAGACTCTAAGCTTAGGGCATGCGGCTCTTGGGTCCTTACTGGTTGGTAGCCGTTGGACACTAGTTCCAGTGGCAGGCACAACAACGACAACCATATCTCGACAGCCACATTTTAGTGTATTGTACTAGACCAGTAGGCGGTAGCGCGACCGACACCTTTCACACGACAAAGTACTCTTGGCTAAATTGCGTCTGCATGATCATCCCTTGTAGCATCATCGTGGCTCGCAAACGAGATTTCCGTGGGCGTCAACAGCGAGCGTACCACCAACGCGTACACTATTTCGTGTCGCTTTGCGGTAGAGGTACGGGATGTACGGTGTGTACGGGAACGCCGGCCGCAGCCATCGGCGTGGTCTCTCATTTCCGAACTTTCTGGTTGCGCCCGATGGCGATCTTGAACGAGTCGCACGCCCGTCAGCGCCAGGCGTCGCTGCAGCACCTCCACCACCACAGTAGCAATAGCACGGCGCCGATGCACCCGCAGCTCTTCTTGCACGCGCAGATGCTGCCGCCGCCCGCGCTCTCGGCCTCGACGTCGCTCTCGTCGCTGCCGCCGACCGAGGCCAAAGGCAGCAACAAGCAGCACATTTCGCCCAAGTGCCCCAAGGACACGAAGAAGGCCAAGGTTTCGCGCGAGCGCCAGCTCAAGATCAACGCAGCGAGCCGGAAATGCCGGCGAAAGCAAAAGGTCGAGCTGCATTTCTTGCGCGCTCATGTTGTGGACCTCCGGAAGGCCATGGCCGACCACGGCAAGGCCTGCGCGAGCCTCGACACGTCGCTCCTCGACCGCACCGAGTCGACGATCGAGGAGCTCACAAGCGTCCGCGTGGTCAAGGACGACCCGAACTCGTCGGACGACGAGCGCGGCAACATGACGGACGAGCCGTCGCCGTTTGCCGACGGGCGCACGCACCAAGAGCTTACGACGATCGGGTCGTACATCCTCATGAACGTCAACCTCGAGTCCAAGTCGTTTTCGCCCGACTCGATCTCGTGCCTGCCCATCCACATGGACGGGTGGATGATCCGCCTCAGCATCACGGAGCGCAGCTACGCGTTCTACAACGAAAAGTTCTTTCCGTGCAACACGCGGGACCTCTTTGACTTTATCTGGGAAGCGTCGCTCCAGGAGACGACGCCGGACGCGCAAAGCGCCGACCTCTGCAAGGTCACGTCGCTCACCCCGGACATGGCCTTTGTCGTCTCCAAGACGATCGGCCGCTGGTCGCTCCAGGTCCACGGCGTGCCGAACGTCAGCTACAACTCGATCGTCGCACGCACCTCGGACGGCGAGCGCCACATGGTCTGTCAGCAATCGGTCCTTGGCCCGTCGGACTTTAGCGATCCGTCGGTCGAGCCATGGCTCTTCAAGCGCTGGGTGGTGTTCCGGCCCGTCGTCCAAGACGGCGTCGTCGGTACGCTTGTCGAAGCCTACCGGAGTGCGAGCTACGCGTCCGGTCGGCGTCTCTACTCGGAGACCAACACGTACGACAGCTTTTGCGAGCACATTATCCGCCGGTACGCCGAGTCGAATGCGGTCTTGGACCGCAAGATGGCCATGGACGTGCGCTTTGCCCATCTCCCGCTCAACGAAAACACCATGTTTATGTACGACACCATGTCGGAACGCATGGTCAAGGACTTCTTATTGCTCTAAGATGCACGTCGCCTCTAGGGGTAGGGGCCTATTTATCTTTGTAACCACTCTTTTGTGTTGTGTGTTGCTGTCTCCCGATTCGGAGCTACGATTCGCCGGCGTTGACTCATGTCCACTCCGAAACTGCGCTTGACGGACGCCATTCTAGAACCCAACAAGGTAGAGACGCCGCATGCAAGGTGGTCCTCCTCTCCTTGTTGCTGGTGTGGCATCATTCGCCGACGCCGCTGTCCCAATGCAATAGTTTGACACTGCAATCGCCCATGTAGCGAGGTGTCGACCAAGAAGGAAGCATCCGTGGACGCGTGGATGAGTACTTGGGGTAGGAATCATAGTAGCTTGAGGTTGTGTCGGGTGCACGGAGAAGCATCTGCCTCGTCTCTTTGGCGTTGCATTGCGCAAACGCCGGCTTCAACAACTACAAGTAGGAGAGGTGGAAGCACTTGGCGTCGAGGCCGCCAACGTTGACGGTCGCTTGACGGTGCGCGATCCCTACAGCGATCCCACTCTATGAGCCCGTAGCGACCACTCGGTGCAATACATGTCTTGTATCGGCCGAGCTGCTTGGTGAGGAGCTCGCGCTCGGTCGTTAGCAACACGGCATGTCCGGTGCCCTTCTTCGTCACGCGGCAAAACTCGTGCAAAATCTAAACCGTATCCGCTAACCCGACCCCTCGTACGACGACAGGTACCTCGGGGTAGCTGCCATTGTTCTTGGCGTGCGACCCAATGCGCTTCCCGAACGGCATGTCGGTCACGAGCGCATCGACGAAGTCCCGGCGAATCGGGAGCCGACGACAGTCCCACTGCACCACGTCCAAGAAGAGGTTCGGGTTGGCTGCGCTCGCCAAGGCCGCGTTGTGCGCCGCGCGCTCGATCGCCGCGTCCGCATAGTCGCCTAGAGTCGCGATGGATTGATACATTGAAGCATTGATAGGTGATGCGACAGGCGGTACCGGCGATGCACACGAGCTGGCCGCTAAAGTGCTTGGCCGCCATCTCGGGGATCGTGCCGCAGCCGCACATAGGGTCGACGAGGATCGTGCTCGACTTGGGCTGGGCGAGCCGGAGCAGATTGTACGCGATCGTCGGGCGAAGCGTCGTCAGCGACAGCTGCCGGCCCGTTGCGCTCACACCGTTGCCTGTTGTCCGGATCAAGTGCTGCGAAGAGAGAGACGCCATGGACTGTACCGACGTGTTCGCCGAGCTCGTCAAAGGCCATCGTGCGCCGGAGCAGCGCGAGACCAAGGAGCACGCTGCCCGACGTGTACGGTGGCGGGTACTGCACATGCGAGAAGATCTCAACATCAAAGTCCTACGTCCCGTGGATACTTGAGCTTCTTGATCAAATGGAATACCTTGAGCTCGGGCGACAGTTGGAAGCGCCGATGCATGCCCGCCGCCAAGGCTTGCGCGAGCTCGAGCTGGCTCCGTGGCGCGACGCCGCTCAGCCGGAGTGTCACACGAAAGGTCTGCGGGCGACGCTCAAGCGTATGGAACGCTTGGTAGACGCTCAGCGCATGCTCAACGTAAGCGCGCGGCACGACGGCGGGGACATCGTGCTGGAGCTGCCCGAGGACGTGTCTACAGAGGCAGACACGATATAAACGACCACGTTGTTGCAGCTGTGGGTACGCCGAGGCGAGGACGTCACTGGCCTTGAGGAGGAGCACGTAGAGCTTCTCGATCGAGCGCAGCGAGCGAAGACGCGGCAAGGCTGCAAGCGGGATCGAAAAGACGACCTTGCCTTCGAGAAGCTCAATGTCGAATGCATCGACCTTCTCGATGAGCTCGCCGGCGGCCACGTCCTGAAAGCCACCGGGCACGGTCGCAAAGAGGCGGCAAACATTCGGGTCGACCGCCATGTCGGCCTCCTAGGCAGTGTCAGCGCTACAGTCATCGTTCGTAGTATGGTGTACTGGCAGAGGTGGTAGCTGCGGCAGCATGCGCTGAGCCCACACATCCTGCGTCGCAAGCAGCGTCCAGGATGTCGACAGAATCGCTGCGGCCGTCGGGAGGCCAATGCGGTCTTGGTGGCTCAGGATTCCACAACAGAGCGCGACAGCGGCGCCCGGCAGCGCCGTCTTGAGCCATGAGAGTCGCGCGGGAAGGGGGTGTAGTCGCTTGGGGAGAGCGACAAAGTGATGCAAGATGGCACTGGCCTTGGCGAGATGGCTCTCGAGGAGGTCGTGCTGGGCCGTGACAGGATCGATAAGACCTACAGGAGGCGTACGTTTGTGATGTAAAGGGCAGTGGCGTTTTGCCCACCGTCCGTATCGAGAAAGCGCCACCGAAGCACGAGAAGCTGTGCGCGGCCGTGGGCGTTGACATGCGGCACGACGTCGACGAGCACCTCGTCACTGTGGACGATCGCACGCTTCGCAGCGGGAAAGGCCAGCCAGGGCGCGACGACCGCTGTACGCGCGTGCATGAGACACAAGAACGTGCTGTTGAAGCATAGACGTACGCTCGAGACGCTTGGCTTCAAAGCAGACTTGAACGGGCAGCCCGGTATCGTCGTTCACAGCGGTGTGGTCCTTGTACGTGGCAAGGTCGAGGCCGCTCGTGTGGCGCACCAAGAGCGTGCAGAACGACACTAGTTGGTCCACACGCCGATATAGTGTACGTAAACGATAGACGCTATTGTCCACACGTACAGGTTTTGCCGTGGTAGCGGCGAGCGACGACGCGGCCTTGGATGCGCTCCGTCATGCACGCTTCGTTGGGTCGCGGCCCGTTTTGAATTTGAGCCAATGGCCTTGCCGATGATAGATTCGCCGCTTTTCATTGGTGCCATTATGACCAATCGTCGCAGGGATGGTTTAAACGCATTTCGCCGCCTTCCAATGGGACGTTTAAACGTATCGTTGTTTCATCCAATCCTCGCCTCGCAAGTTCAGTGCACCAATCACATCAGCGTATTTGCGTCTAAATCCAGCTCTTTTCATCCAATCCGCAGGTAGATTGGAGTTGACCAATCGCAACCATCGCACTTGGCCACCAGCACGACCAGGACGATGGCGGCGAGAGAGAAGCTCCGCGGGATCGGCGCCCGCAGCTACGACGACGCAGTCCTGTCCTTCGCGCCCGTGCACAACGCGTACCGCAGCGTCGCCAACGGCTCCATCGAGAAGCTCTACCAGCTCCTGCCTGTGGTACGCCGACCACCTCCTATCGCCCTGGTGGCCATTCGACCATTTCGCCCATCGTAGCTGGTCGGTGCCCGCGATTACCATGGCGCCGCCTCGGTCCTGCGCTCTATTTACCGCTCGTTCAAGTCGCATCCCGATCTCTGCGTCACGGTAGGCATCGCTTTTGACCATGCGCTTGACGCTTGCGTAGACCAGTATGGAGATTCTGCGCCGACAGCCCGACGGAATCGCTGCGCTTCTGCACTACCTGCAGAGCCTCGTTGCGCTCAACGACGAGTCGATCAACGTACGTCCTCGCGCTCTCTTGTGTCGGGTGCTATCGAGAGCGTAGGCGGCGGTCATGCAGCGCGAGATCTTTCTTCTGCACCTGCTGCAAGGCAACTTGTACTTGGCATACCGCCATTTCAAGGACGACATGCAGTCGATCGTACGTGAAGCACGCTATATGATCTCCTGCACCTGCCGCTAGGAAGCATTCCGAGACGACGCGCACGTGCAGGCGGACTTTGGCATCCTCTGCTACTGGCTGCTCTTTTACGAAGACGCCGACCTCCGCGCCCAGTTTCGCGACCATAGTCTGCCCCGCAACTTGCACATCAACGAGCTCGAGACCAAAATCGGGACGGCGCTCTTGTTTCAAGAAGGCCAAATGGCGCTTCGGCGGGCGACCACCTTGTCGCCAACGTCGCCCGTCTACATGACATACTACGTCCAGGTACAGAGCTCGTTGCGGTCGTCTTGCATGCTATATACCGTTAGCTGCTGGTGATGAAGCACGAGGTTGCCCGCGCCGGCGACTTCATCGAGCACTTCTATCACCGCAACCCGCGCGAGCCGCACGCATGTCGCATGGTTTGCTGTGTTTCAACGTAGCCAGAGTGCTCACTCGATCGGCGATTAGGCCTACGGGTTCTACGTGCTGTACTACCCGACTGCGACGCATGCGCATGTCGACGTGTGCCGACGGTGCTTGTGCGAGAGGTCGTCAACAACTCATGTGGATGCTGTAGCTGGGCGCGGCTCGAACCATCGGCCGCCGAGCCACTGCAAGCGCTCGTCTCGGCCCACGCCAATGGTGACGTGTGCCACTGGCATCGCGTGACTCATGCGATCTAGGCCACGTCCCAACAGACGTACTGCGCGAGACGCTGGCGACCGCGATCGATAGCTGCGGCAGTCTCTTGTACGAAGACTTGCACGCGCAGCATGCGTTTTGGCTCTGGCAGCAGCTCGCGACGCTTCTCGGACCGGTATTCCGTCGCACCGAATCCCTCTTTGCATCATGGGTTGTAGGTGCCATCGAGCTCGACGCTGGTGGCTGCGCTTGCCCAACGCCAGTGGTGGGGCCGCGTGTACTTCAGCCCTGGATCTATCACCGGTTCGAGTCTTGGCCACGACAACAGTAACTTGGATGGCTTTGCGTAGATGCCAACATGGAGCTCAGCTTGTACAAGGCAGTCGTGGCCGCGCACATGTCCCTGGCGCCCGACTTTGTTGCTCGCGTGCTCACGCTGGCGTCTGAGTTTGGCGATGCGATGCAGCTCGTCCACGAGTCTGTTCTCCTCTCTACGAGCGGCGTCTTAGGTTCCGACTACCCACTAGGTTCGAGCTCGCCCCGATGGCGCCACCAATCAAGAAGCGCAAGGTCACCCTTGTCCGCAAGAAGGCGCCGTTTTGGCGCCCGTCGCGCGGTCAGCTGCGCATGCCCCACATCCTCGATCGCGCGACGCTGCTGTCGTCCTATAATGTTCGTGACGCACTCCACGTCAGCGAGGTAGATCTTATGTATCCGACAAGGTCGTGACAGAGATTTTGCCGTAGGTCGAAGCGAGTACGTCGGGCGCGTTTACGACGATCCCCGTACCGTCTTTTGCGCCGGCCGTCGAAGCCGACGCGCACCCACTCAACTGGCTCCTCCACAAGCGCAAGCAGCTGACGCCGCCGCATCTGGCCCACGTCGCGGCGGTCGGGACGGCGGATGCCATGCAGCCACCTATGACCCCGCACCCGAACTTGAGCCAGCGCGACTTGACCGCCCATATCCTCGAAGACACGCGACTTCGAGACCCGCTGACCGCCGACATTTTACCTCATGCGTTCAATACGCTTGCGCGGACGATAAAAGCGCTGCCGTTGGCCGGCGAAGACGACGTGCGCGAAACCTTTGTGCGCCGCTACGTACGCGTGTCACGGTCGCTTCTCGCTGAGCTCCCGATCGCGTCCAAGTACCTGCACTGGCTGCAGCAATATGTGCAAATGCACGGACTCCAGAGCAACGTCGACGGGTACGTATCCAACTACATCAGAACACTCTCCTTATAGTACTGGCTGGGGCTAGGGCCATGGCCTTTCTGCGGGCGCAAGTGCGGTCGGTCGGTGGGTCGAGCCGTGGGTTCCCGCACCCGGGTCTCGTCGCGAAGGCACTTGCGTACTTTGAAAAGAACGCGTCCGCGCTCCCGTCGCACTACAAGCAACTGCTGCTTGCGGCGCTTTTGCGCGACTACCAGCGCTACCGCATGTCGGACCTGCACCGGTTCAACGTCCGACATCAATGCCAAGCCTACTATGCAGCGCTGCGCGCAAATGCACCGGCGGACTTGCCGCACTGGCACACGTGGCTGGCCGCCGCGCAGTCCCTGCAAAGCCAGCTGTACGCCAACCCCGTCCTTGTTGACGGCGCGGTGCGCCACACGCTCTGCCATCCGTCCCTAGTACTTCCTCTATTATTCGATACCGGCGTCATGAACTCATTCGCCTGCTACTAGCCGCGACCCGAGCCTCAGTATCTGCACCACATTTCCGAGGTGCGACCGACCTTCAACGCCAGCAAAATGCCATGGCTTGTCGTAGACGGTCCTCCAGCGTGCACTGCAGGACCCGAGCGTGCACCGGTACCGCGATGCACTCCGCGAGTGGCTTGACCGCGAGTCGCCGCTCACAGATGCGCAGCTCTCGACGAAACTGCACTTGTTTTTCGATGCGTCAGCGCCGACCTTTCCGTCGGCGTCGCTGCTGCGGGCGCTCATCACGTACGAGAGAGCAAGCTTGCACTATGAACGCGCGATCGAGGTCGGCCGCGACAGTCTTTACTGGTCCCGGAAACAGGTGCCGCCGACCGGCGTCCGTGAAACCATTGTCCAAGCCACGTTGCGCGACGTGCACCACGCGTCACCGTACGACGCGTTTGTCGACGCCGCCAACGTCTTTGGCTACGTGCCCGAGACGCTCACCGCCTTTCCGTCGACGGCCGCCGTGCACGAGATGCAGCGGGCAGCGATTTCGAATGCGATCCGCACCGGTCTCGGTTTTGGCGAGGCGCCGTTGCTTGTCATGGACGACGGGGACGCCGTTGGCGAGACCGAAGAGACACCTGCCGCCAAGCGCTACACCCGGTGGCGCGCGCAGGCACTGGCGTACGTCGTCGAGCACCCCGACGCAACCGCGGACGAGCTGCTTGCCTCGTTTCCGGCGACGGACAAGCCACCGATGGCGCTGGTTGTCGACCGCATTCTGCCCTACTGCTGCAAGAAGGCGCAGCCGCTGCGATGCTCCAAGACGATCCACCAGCACCTCGACGATGCACTCTGGGTGTGCCCGTCGCTCCGCGCGCACGAGCTCTACCGGTATGTTGAGCACTGCATGGGCGGCTGCGTGCCTGGCCACGACGACGTGCGCCTCAATCGCCCCATGAAGTCGGACGCGACCAACCGCCGCTTCTACAACCTCATCGAAGTGGCCCGCGCGCGGTACCGCAGAATGCACCCGGCGCCCCGATCGTCGCCGTCGACCACCGACGTGGAGAGTGCCTTTGGCTGGCTGGACGTGCTGCCGGCGTGGGCCCAGGACTTGGACCCGCGAGGTGACATTCTCGCCGCCGTTCAGACGATCCATACGAGCCGTGACCCAACGCTGTCGAAAGATGCAGCGTGGTATCTTGTCCAAGTGCGGTACGTGGCGTCCGGTCGACGTATCCAGTTGATAGATTGATACTGTAGCGATGGGCTGCGCCCGAGTGTCGCGGACGACGCGACGCTGCCCAGCCTCCGCATCATCAAGCGTGCGGTCCGGCACGTGTCGCGCACAGCGTACCGGCGTGCGATCCGCCAGCTGCTCGACGAGACGCAGGTGCCCGATCGACCGGACGCAGCGTGGGATCAGCTCGTGCGCGCAAAGCTCGAGGCGGTGTTCGACGCTAGTCGCGCAGCGTTCCCGTCGCTACACGCGGTGGTCTATGCGCGCGTGCGCTGGCAGCAACGCCACCGGCTCTTGACGTACATTGACAAGGACGGCATGACGCCGCAGTTGCTCGTGCTTCTCCTTCGCCATGACTTTGGCGGGTTGGAGCCGCCGGTCACGATAGACCTCGTCCTCGACGTGTGGCCAGAGGCGCGCACCGCGTTCGCCGACCGCCTTGTCTACCTCGCGTAGTGTGCTAAGGTGCGACGTAATTGCAACTTGGTTTTGGAGGGACTATGGTGTCGAGAGAGATAGGGACGGAGCGTGTCGGAGGAGCCAACGTTCCTACTTACTGGGAGCGGCTCCTCGTAGGTTGACACGAGTCCAGTCGGCCTTATCGATGGCGCATCGTACATGTAGCTCGGCTTGGAAACGTCATCCTTCAGCGACAATGGGATGGCTGGTCATGATACAGCAGCATGTTGGCTGTGCTGCGCTATTCGATGGACGGCAATACCGTCAGCCCAAGTGTAGAGGTAGCTTGCCTCGGATGTCCTATGCGGTGTGGCGTCGGCAGCAGCGGTGCACCGTCAACTCGAGCCTTTGGCCGCATCTGTAGACACAGGACTCTCGCTGGGCGTCGCAACCGCGGGAATGGGGCTAGGGTCCGGTGTGTGATGGACAACTTTGTGTGTTTATATATATATGAACGTGTTTTGCGTTATGTTCATTATGACACAAAGACTTCGCATACGTAGCGCTACGCCTGAATGCGTCGGAGTTAGTCGTTGGGAGTGAGCTGCGCACAGAGCGATCCATCCACTTTGTGTTTAATGGTAATACGATTAACAGGAAATTTGCTGGCAGGTAGCGCTAGGTTGCGTGGGGGTTGACGAGGTTGGTGATCTTGGTGGTGTTCATGCGCACGGTGGCGAGGATATCGCGCGTCTTGACGTCCTTGGCCTTGTAATGCTGCGCCGTCTTCTTGTCTCGGCGTACGTACAAATGGTCGCTGCTGTTGCCACCGGGCGCTTTGCCCTTTTTGGCTTTCTTGGGCGTCGAGCTTGGCGACGACGTATTCGACGACGGGTCGTGGACAAGCGTGAGCGACATGGCGTGGTGCAACGTGGCCCGTTGCGGCTGCACGACCGACGGCAGCGCACCCGTGGACGCCGACCGCCCGCTCAACGATGGCGACTCGAGGTCCGTGCTCTGCGCCAACGACGCCTGAATGACTTGGCGGAAATGCACATTCTTGGCGCCTGTCGGGTAGAAGAGCGCCGGCGCGCCCTCCACCGCCCGCGTGATGCCCGTGTGGTTGAGGTCGGGGACGTGGATGGGCTCGACGAGGAGCTTCAGGTGCTCGCCTTGCGCCGCGTCGCCCATTGCGATGTACCGGCGCGACTGCACCGTCATGACGTCCAAGTACGGCGTATGGTCTCGCCGCTTGGGTGCATCCATGGATCCAAAACGACTCTAGGTAATTTAGTCGACTGTCGTCAAAGCTCTAGTCGACCCCAGTCAATGCCCTAGCCATTGTAGTCGAATCGAGTCGTTCAGCTGTCCCGAGATGGACACATCGCTCTAGCTATCGCTCTTGTCGGCAACTGCCCTCGGCGACAGGGCTGTGCCAATGACACGTCTCTTTGCTTCCGCAGGTGCCACGGAGGTAGGTGCAGCGCGCGATGGCGAAGTCCTTGTAAGGACGATCGGCGAGTATATTTACTCGAGCGTGACGTCGCAGTTGTAGGCAGAGGTATTAATGAAGCGCTACTCGACTTTAGCTGAGGACGGCGCCGCAATGGACGCACTTGCGTTCCGTGAGCAAGAGGCAGCAGAGGATACCGGCGGGGAAGAAGAGGATGCCGAGCACGATACCGCAGAGCGTAAATTCATTCGACTGCACGGCGTGGGCGCAGTAGCCATCGACCGTGAGCATCTGGCCGGGCATCACGACGACTTGGCCGACCATGGCCTACGTGAGCAAGGCGTGAGCTTCGTGTGGCAAAGGGCGTCGTACCGGCTGGACGACGACGTAGTCGGGGCGCGCCTGCTGAACCGGGACGCCCTGTGCGTAGTACTGCGGCTGGCCCTGGTACTGGCCTTGCGGGACCGGCACGGCCTGCGCGACCGGCGGCGGCGCCTGGTAGCCCGGGGTCTGGCCCATGGGGCCGCCACAGCGGGAGCAGAAGGCTGAGTTGGGCAGGTTCTGGTCGAACTGGCACTTGGCTACGCAGAGGCGGTGAGGTCGGCGAGGTCGCCGGCGGACCTACGGCAGTTGAGGTTGGCCATGTTGGCTTTTTCGGATTTGTCGACAAAGCTTCGACCCATGTGTCAGTTTAGGCCAATCACACGTCGCGTCATTGCTCTTTTTGGCCAATCAATGGTCAGGACGAGTGTCAGGATCAACTTTACGCGTCGCTTACAAACGGCAAGCTTAAAACTAGCCGCCTGGTTCTGCAAGTCACGCGCCGTCCTTGGCACGCGGCGGCTGTCCACATGCATTCCTGTCTATTTCTCGAACTCGGAATACATTTCTAGCATCGTGTAGTCATTTACAGACTAACTACAATGTACTGACTAACTACAATGTACTGACTAACTACAATGTATTGACTAACTACAATGTATTGACTAACTACAATGTATTGGCTAACTACAATGCATTGGCTAACTACATGGTACTAGTATTGACTAACTACAGATGTATTGGCAATAGTGCAAGACTGACAACGGCCTGAACGTCCTTCGCGTCAACTCATTTGTCGTCGCAAGGCGGCATCGTGATAACGTGGCCTCGTACGCGCCACCCAACCCACACGGCAACAACGATCTCTCTAGTAGGTCATTGACTTTAGTCGACATTCTGTGCATTCACTGTGGACTGTGTGGTCCACGATTCAGCGCAGCCCTTTGGTCAGACTTCTTCCATTTTGCTCGCTTTCGAGCTGGACAACTTCCCCATTCATCTCCCCATACACGGGCAACTGATCGCTTGAATGGCGTCCTGGTTGGTGTCGTGAAGGCTTACCGAGAGCCCCATCATCTCAATGAGACCGAGAGCTTGCTGCAGAGCAGCTCAACAGCCCTAGCATTCGTTGCTGTGGTACTTGCCGGTGAGTCAACTGTTCTCGGACAAATGTAGGTCTGCAGTCTAATCCAATATCTTCAGCGAGCGGAGCGGCTCATGCAGAGCGATCGAGCCAAGGACGGCGGCTCTGCAATCTCCGCCATCCATTCATTCGAGTCCCATAGGCTAGTACCATACTAAGAACACATATCGTACCGCCCTCTGCAGTCGTCGGAGGTGGAGAGCAGCGCTGAGACAAGGCGGTTGAGGGAACCGTGCGAGGAAGCGCGATCTTCCACCTCCCAGCGTACGTACAGTCCATCTCGTTCATTCCAATACAAACAGTGCGTGCATCAACGTATCGTACGTACAACGTACGTACATTACATCCCGTTGCCAGCCGATCGCCATGTCCATTTGCCCATTTGCGCATCATGCGCCGGCCGCTGCCCTCGACGACGGAGCTCGTGAGCAAGCACCACGACGTACTGTACGACGTCGGTAGCGCCATGCACCACGGCAAGCGCCTCGTACACCTGCGCCATGCCCTCACGAAACCTCATGGCGCAACCTAGGCGCTGCGCTTCAGCACCACGGGCGAAGCCACGTACGAAGAGTACTCGCGCACGGACGTGCTCAAGCTCGTGCAGGCCGCGGCCGCCGGCGTCGTCGCACCCACCCCCCGCACTGCGAACCGCATCGATATCCCGGTACGTACTGCTTGTTGCTAGCCTTTGTCTCCTCTCTCCGCGTCGCTGACCACCAAAATAGAAAGTGCACATGCGGGACTTGCGCAAGCTCGACAACGTCTTTGCCGTCTCAAACGAGCCGTCGCTGGTCGTGCGGCAGCAGGCCATCCTTGTCAACGCCGGTGCGTCGCTCTTCCGCATCGTACGACGCAGTAAACATGGTGGGTAGATCCGGTCCGAGCGGTCATTACGCGCGAGAGCTGCCTCGTCTTCTTGCCGGACGGCGCCGACAGCCTCGTGTCGCTCCTGAAAGGCTGCTTTACCGAGCAGATTGTGTATACGCAATCGATCGCATTTGAGTTCGCGTGCGTCGCTGGCGAGTCGATCCCATCAGATCTTATGGAGGCGCATAGGGCTCTCGAAGCCGTGCTCCAGACGCTGTGCAAGGTCGTCTCGAGCGACTGCGAGAAAGTGCTGCCGGTCGCCAAGACCTCGGTGGACCGTATGGCCCGCGATGACCTTCCCATGGGCGACATGGAAGCCCTTCGGTCGCTCAAGAATGCCCTGCACGAGCTCGACACGCAGGTCAACGGCATGCGGCGCATGCTCATGGAGATTCTCGAGAACGAGGAAGACTTGCACATGCTCTATTTGACCAAGGTAGACAACATGTTCCTACAGTATGGAGAGAGCGACTATGGTTTTGTGTGCTAGATTTTCGCCGAGCCAGCCGTGGCGTCGGACCTCTTGAGCTTTGACACGGAAGACGCCGAGTCGCTTTTGGAAGTTTACCTGCAGGTATTCTACTTATTTTTGTGGTTTTTTGGGCTTGAAATTTTGGGCTCCTATTTTGTAGGACATTTACGCGACCCAAACCCGCGTGTCGCTCATGCTCAACAACATTCGAAACACCGAGTCGATGGTCATGCTGCGACTGGATACGAAGCGAAACTACCTCTTGACAGTCGACTTGACGCTGACGCTGTGGACGACGATGCTCACGGTCCCGACGTTCATCGTCGGCGGGTTTGGCATGAACCTCGACTCGACGACGCAGCAGACACCCTACATGTTTTGGATCGTCTTTGGATTCTGCGTCCTCTTCCCGATCACGTCCGTGTACCTCGTCAAGCGGTTCCTCGAGCAACGTGGCATCAACATGAGCTGGAAGTCGGGCTAGTATACATGGCCATCCATCCAGTTTTGATTTTTGCTGCATAATAGACACTGCTGCCTGCAGTATATCATGTAAACCTCTTGTGGGGACTTCAAATCGACCATACAAAGCATATTACAAACGATGCACCGGGTTAAGGTAGGTGTAGGGGACGTGAACTGCTTCGGAATGCAGGGGCGTCGCTGGACAGCCAAAAGCTCGACGCAAGACGCCAGTTCTTGACACCGAGAATGTCCACCGTCGCCTGCCACTGCCATAGCACGAGCATCACCCTCGCCTGAAGCGTAGCAGCTGCAAAACTCACGGATAGGGTCCATCGCGCGGCTGATTGACGAAGGGTTTTGCCAGGAATTGAACCGAGTTATGGAGCTGCCATGGCACGCTCAGCCAAACGACGAGTGTATGTACAGTCGTCGAAGAGCCACACGTTGACGTACATCACAGTGGCGAGTTAGCCATATGACACTCTCTGGGTCGAAGGGACCCTCGGCTCGGATGCATCATTTGCTTTTTGTGGTACATTCAGCACCGTCCCAAGACAACCGCCACGCCAATATCTCAAGTTCAAGTCGACAAGTACGTCGTCAGACTGTAGGATGAAAAGGTCGATAGCTTAGCCGACTTTGCCCAGCCTTGGTGGCATATCATTCCTACTCTAGACATGGCCACATCCATTCGGAGGTAGATTTGAGACAGTGGAAATACTAAGGGCGTTTCGCGCTTGCACGAACCGAACCCGACTCTTCAAGACGGCGGTTCAGCAAAACCAACGACTTTGCAGCAGCGCCTAGTCGTCGCGTGGCGATCTCGGCTGCACCCGAGATGCAGCGATAATGCAGGCCTCCAAAAGCAGAAAACTCGTGTCATAGAGAATGTCTCATCTCTTGGTTAATCAAATCGTGTCTTGCGGACAACGTGAGAACTGAGGGTTATATCCCTTGGTGAGAACCGTCAAGGTCGTTTCGATTTTTTTCAAAAGGCACACTCCCAATGTCGGTGACGGTGCAGTCCAAGTCGACTGCGCCTGCCAAGGTCGCGCCGGCGTCGCGAAAGATTTACCTCTACTGTGAGGGCCCCGCGTGCAGCTACGCCTGGGCTCAAGACGCGATCGAGAACGTCGAGACCATGCACCATGTGTTTATACGCGTATCGGGCGTGCTCCACGTGTCGTACTTGTGCGCTGGTTGCCACGCGACTCTGACGGACGACGAGAAGCGCAATGTGCCTCTCTTCAACGACAACTTGGTCAACACGATGAGCCTTGCGCGCCTCAAGCGCCTCGATAGCTACCACGTCCTCTTGACCAACGTCAAGACGTACCTGTTGCCGCTTGCCGGCATTGTGCTCTTCTTGCCGATCCTGGGGCCGCTGCTCGCGTTCGGGTGCCGTAAGCTGCCAGCGCGCCTTCTCGAGCTCTGGCCGCACCTGCCAAAACGCCACGTGTGTCTCACGTTTCTCTTGCTCTCCGCCACGTATGTGGGCATTGCGCTTTGCTTTCCGTTTACGAGCCAATGTGTCTTCTGGGCTCTTCTCGAAGGGTACAGCGTTCTCTTCAGTCTCGTCAACCTTCTGGCCCACACCACCATCAACGGCTACGTCAACGCGTCAGGTAGCCTCGACACCAACCGCAACCCGCTCATTAAGCTCCAGTACGCCATGTTCCGCATTATCTGCAGCGGTGGTGTCCCCGTGGTCGGGCTCCTCGAATTGCTTGTGCTTATTAGCACACCGCCTCTCGCAACCGTCGTTTATTCAAGCTCCAAGCGCCTCTCGGACCCCACGGATCTGAACGCGCTCTCACTCCTCGATCCGACGACGCAGGAGCCGATCGACCCGAGTTACCTCCCCGGTGCCTTTGTTTCGCGCCCGATCCAGCGCCGGATTGTAGATATCATGGGCTGGCGACGCTTCACCCTTTTGCTTGGGCTTCTCGCGTCGGTCGCCATCAACGGGGTCCTCACCGCGTCGTGGGTTGGCGGCATCTTTCCGAGTTTTGATTTTATCGTGCCGGGGGCGTATGCTCTTGTGAGTTCGCCAACAAACGCCATGTACGGGATGTCGGGTGAGCTCGCTACCCGCAGCTGTGCGTCGACAGCGAACGGGCTCTCAACGACGACATCGAGTGCTGTGTGGAACTTGGGATTTGACCCGGCGCCGACGGTGGACATTGGTCTGCCGCTCGTGATCCTTTTTTTTTACAATGAGCAACAAGAGCCCGTGCCGTTTACGATCGAGGCGGCGTGGAACATCCGGCTCGTCAACCAAAGCGGGAATAGCGCGATGTTCTACCCGCTTGCGAACGAAGCATTTTTCAGCTTGCGCGCCGACTTTGACGGCGACTGCACGGCCGTGCGTGCGCTCCACCCGGTCGCCACCGTCTATTATGGGACGTCGTCGCTGCAAATGTACGTGGCGGCCCAGACGCTCGACTATGCGATGGTGCTCTTCCCGCTCTTTCTCTTGTTCAAGCAGATTGCGCAATGTGGCGTCTTTAGCGCGTGCATCGGCGGTCTCTCGGGTCGCATTTGGGCGCTTTGGATCAAATTCGACTCGATTTCGACTGTCGGACTCTACCCCCACTTTGGCAATACCCCGCTTCCTGTCGACCTGACGTGCCGCACCAACCTCGTAGCGTGGATGGCTGTTCGGCGCAGCGTCATTGGGGCCACGCAAGTCTTTACGAGTTTTGTCAAGCCCATGTTGTCGCTTGCTCTACTGCAACTCGCGATTGCGTTTGGGGGGCTCCTTGTCTATGCGCTGACGGGGACCGGGCCGATGCCAACGTACTTTTTGCTCGTGCTTGCCCTTGTGAGCTCGGTCTCGACGCTCGTGTTTCTATATCCGCTCTCTGAGGCAATGGAGATCCAAGCGAGTCACGGCGATATGCTACGAGAAGTGCAATTGCAGTACCTCCTCAAGCAAGGCGCCGACAAGACCGATGCTGGCGTCGGCGATCTTCTCTCGGTCTATGTGGATGTCATCGACAACCACGACGACCGGATCACGTTTTGGGGCACCGAGACGTCCAAAGACAAGCTGCAAGGACTCATTGTGACGCTCGCGTCTGGCCTCTCGTTCATTGGCTCCAAGACCGTGCAGTACGAGTGGTCCACGCTCAACCCGCACTACATTGGCAACAACATTCCCCAGTTGTAAAGACGCTTACTGTCGTTTGCTCTGTGAATTTCGAAATTGTCTATAATCCATTTCGCATCTATATAACTATAAAAATGATAATATTGAAACGTTGGAGTATGGCATATGCATGCCAGAGCACAATGCTTTCCATTACCCACGAGAATTTGGTGAATCTGGCGGCTCATTTCTTGCACTTATTGTCGACGGCGAGGACAACTACGCAGCTCAACTGTCGCCGCACGCCATGCGACGAGTGTGTTGACAGGTTGACTGCGCAGTTCCAGCGTTTTGACGTGGCAGCACGCAATGGCCAATCCGCGCGCTTCCCACAAAAAGATCGCCAGTTGGGTCCAACACGATGTGATTGGTCGAAACCAATTGATTTTTCGATATTGCGCCAATCCGAGAAGAGCGCTGCCGCCCCGAGCTCATTCGAGATCTCGCCAGCAACTGCGCAGACGATGGAGACCAAGACGTTCGCGCGGCTCTTCGACGGCCTCGCAGCCGCGCCATGGGTCCATGGAAGCCTTCCGCATGCTGTCCCCTTCTCCCGGCGGGTGCATGGACGCATGCTCGTCTGGCCGCGGGACATGGACGCGTTCGCGGGCGGAACGATTCCGGCAGCGGACCTTCCTCCCGATGAGGTCACTGCCACGACGGCAACCGCATGGATCAAGCACCGTCTACTGCCCGACGATGGCTTCTACCTCGAGCTCGCGCATGGCGCGATCGACCGGCAGGGCCGCGTCGACGTGCTCCTTCCGATGGACCGGCCGGCCGGGTGCTTTGGAACGCTCGTCGTCTTCCCTTCGTCGACTTGCATGGGAGGGGCCATCACGGTGGCACACGAGAACCGTACGACTGTCTTTACCCCTCCTGCTGGAGCGTCGAGCTTCCTCGCCTTCTACAACTCTTGCACCGTTAACGTCAGCCCCCTCGTTGGGACTCGGGCCATTCTCATCTACCACGTGGTATACTTGGGTCCGACGGACCGCGATCGCTTCGTTCCAATCGCTGCCGCGCCGCTCATCGCGCGCTTGAAGAAGGCGGCTGCGAGCGCGAACCAGGACTCTGCAGTGTACGCATTCAAGTGGCGGACGCGGTACGGACCCGAATTGGACTTTTCGGCGCTCGAGCCCCACGACGCAGCCATCGTGGACGCCCTCTGTGCGACGGAAGCGTACGACGTCGCGCTCGTCCGCGTGACCGTCCAAGGCCGCCCGGCCAATGCTGTCGATGCCTCCGAAGAGCAGATGGGGCTCGAGCTCATGACCCAGAGCTTCGAAGAGGCCGACGAGCGGTACGAGATCCTATCGGAGGTCCAGCACATGGCCGGAATCGCCTTCGTGCGCATGGGGTTTGCCGGCCCTGCGATCACGATCGTCTCTGCACTCTACCACCCGGCGTGCAACGTACCCGCCGAGTTGAGCCTCGCCAAGATCCAACTGACCGACTTTGTGGGCTCGCGGACTATGGTTGTCCTGGCTCGTGGCGGGTCGCCGTTCCTCATTTTTTGGCCCAAGCGCCATCGCGCGCGACTACTCGGTTTCGAGCGCTGCATGCAGCTGCTGTGGTCCTCGGTCGCCGATGGTTGCAACATGAACAGCATCGATGCGACCGTGTCTTGTATGGCGCGAGGGGCCATGGAAATGCTGCTTGCGGGTCGCCATGCGCTTCCAGGGCTTCAACGCGCCGAGCCCGACAGCCATCAGATGTGCAGCTTCCTCGCGGACCTCGGGGACATTGCACTCATCGCTGCGTTCATCAACACGTACGCAAACGTCAAGAAGCACGCATCGTGGCTCTTCGACATGCTCGATCGACTTGGCTGGGAGGCGCTGCGCGTCGCCGTGCTCTGGCGTCTCCGCTCGAGCCGCCTCGAGGAAGCTCTCTCGTTTCTCGGGACATTGATCGAAGACAACCAATTGCGGCTACGCCAGCCGTTCGCCGTCGAGTTTCTCAAGGAAATGTGGGCCACGGTGCGTCCGACCAGCTTCTTTCAGCTTGCTTGCATCGAAGCGTGCCCAGCAACGCTCGTTCACGGACTCCGTATCGAGTCGTGTATCGTCAGCGCATCGAATGACAACGTCGTCGGTCCGTACTTGCGTCTCTGCTTGCCGAACAGTCTCATTGCGCACATCGATGCGTTTTTGTATCCGGCGACGCTCCTTGACATCGTCACGGCGACCCCCCACGTCTTTGACCCGGTCGAGGTCGTCGCCAAGGCCATTGTGCAGCTGTGCAACGAGGAGCTCTCCGTCTCGCTGCGGCCGTACATTGCGCTGGTGCCACCG